AATTGGAGACTAATGTGTATTGCTATTTGCCTTAAGTACTCCAGCTTGAGAGCACAACAGAGATAAGGTTTTTGTTGTTTGTTTGTTTAGCAGTTGGTGGTTGTTAGGAAATGATGATTGAGCCTTTGGGTTCCAGCGTGAGTTCTATGCATTGCTACTTTGCATTGGAAACTTCGGACTTGGGAAAGAGGGAGTTAATGGAGCTATGTAAAAACAGATGGCTGTAACAACAGAGAGATTTTTGCTCCAATATAAAATTATTTCTGTCTGAACTCATTCATGAGCATAGGCTGGATTTTGACGTTGGTTCTTCAAATCAGAGTTAAGTCTAACCAAAAATTGTACTTGCTCTCGCTTAAATGTGATTTACAAGGGGGGGAAAAGTTTTTGCCATTTTTTTGCTTCTTTTTTATCTGAAGAAATTTTTACTTGATTTACCTTTTAAATATTAAGAATATCAAGTTATTGCAAGCAACTTTCTTGCTTTCATAAGAGAATCGAAGGGAATCTTTGCACTTGCCACTGTCAGGTGCTTGAGTTAGTACTGAGTTAACAAAATTTGAAACCTTGACTAAATTCCCTTCTCCTCTCAATTGTGCGGGTTTTACTTCCTTGTTGTGATGTTATACTTTCTTTTATCAGACCAAATCTTTCAGCAGGAATAGTGTAGACAAGAACTGAATTTCTAATGTAAAAAATTAAGCAATTCTCCCCCCCCCCCTTTTGAAAGGTTTATTCCGTCAAATGTTCATTATACATCATAAAGAAGCAAAAAGGGCACAAACCCATTTTTCCTCCCTTGCAGGTCACTTAATATACTGATCATTCTTCTCTCAAAGACGCTGCTGGAGTCTTGGCTGCCTAGAGGTAACCTGAAGTTTTTATTATAAACTACAGTTTCTTGTCTGAAATGGAAGAGTTTCCAGTATAATCCCTTCAATCACAGTAACAGTGATTAGTTTGAGGGTCATCTTTGGGCTCTCTACAATGCCTTTAACAAAATCCGCTGCTGGTGCTACTCCACCAGTGGGAACCCTAGCATAGCCAGGGCTTTAGGTAGCCACTGGCACTTTAAGCCCTGTCATTAACCCCCCTGCTTTGGAGTAGGTTTGACTCATATCATATAAAACACCAGCAGATGCTGCTGCATCTGCATAACACTAGTAATCCCACTGTAATTGCCAGCACTGGAGCTGAACTGGTGCTAGCATGGATGAAGAATAGGGTGACCAGACAGCAAGTGTGAAAAATCAGGACGGGGGTGGGGGGTAATAGGAGCCTATATAAGAAAAAGACCCAAAAATCAGGACTGTCCCTATAAAATCAGGACATCTGGTCACCCTAATGAAGAAACTAAGAATTTCCTGGATAGACAAGGTGGGGGTGTGTGTGTGTGTGTGTCTTATAAATGCTTCAGTCTAAGAATGTACTAGTAGCTTGTATTTTTTTTCTTTCTATTTACTTGTGTCTTTAATATTGAGAAACAGTAGCAAGAAGTTGGGCCTTTAGCAGTAGTTCTGCAAACTCCAAAAGAAAATAACATTTTTGGATTTCTAATTAGTTTTGCTCAGGACATAGTTTGACATGACATTCAAAACACACTAATAAAAAGCAGGTTTTGCAATTGAAATCCCGCCCTCCCTTCCCTTCTTTCCACCGCCCCATCCCAAAGTGCTGTGGAAACACCAGGCAAATGCAGCCCATTTTAAAGCACACTTGTTCTCAAATAGCTTTTTCCGGGGCGCTAGTAGTTCTCCCCTTTATCCACCGCCTTTGTAAGGCTATTTACACTCCCTGCTTCCAATAACTGATCTGAACTGGATGATTCTGTATAATCCCCATCATCCTCCAGCACATCAGCCTCTCTAAACTTTGTTTAATCATGAAGATGAGTAACTTTATTTTGTAATGTTCTGTAAAATGAGGGTGATAAGGCCTCCAGGGACTAGTATTCATTCCATTTCATTGCAAGGAGTAGGGAGGAAAAGGGTGCAAAACTTTAGTCACACTTTTTTGGAAAGCAAAAATCATTTTTGTTTTTTTCACCCAACTAACTTCCAGTTGTGAGTCACAAGTCTGGAGCTGCTAGTTGCTGAAGTTCAGCTTTATCAAAATCTAAGAGCTTTTTATGTTTGATTTTTATTTCCATTTAAGTTACTTATTCCAAAGACAGAGAGGGGTGTGTGTATCTTCTGCAGTCTGATGTACAGTGCAAATGGCAGGCTGTGGCTCAGGCTCAAGACTTCACATATGTAAAATGTGACTTGCAGCACTTTCTTTGAAGCCTAACCACAGCCAGGGAACTGTAATTGCAGTCTTTGATTGCGCCGACTTCACTTGTGGATTGGGCTTTGCTGGGGCATGCCTGGCTTGGCCAGACTTCAGCTGCAGCCCCCCAGTGAAGTCTCAGATGTGGGAAGTCTTCAGTCTCCTTAGCACATGCCTGTGGTTTCTTGAAAAGAATCCTGATTTGACCTGTTTTATATCTTTAAGGCAACACCATAGTAGTAGTTTGGTTTTTTTTAAAGGTAGTGTTTGGTCTATCAGCAGTAGAAGTTACTTTCAGTTTGTAGCCTTAACATATAGGCAGCTGGGGGGGAACTGTATCCTAGCCCTCATTTTCAGGCTAACTACTATGTAATTTTCTATAGTATTACCCTGGAAACAATAACTTTAGGTCTCCTTTTTAACACCTCTTTGTACAATTGGAATCCTGTAAGCAGCCTTTTTTTACTGGTGGAAAAAGGAATGAGGAGAGGAAGGGAGAGGTTATGAAAATGTGAGCCAGAAATTGCTACAGTTGTACTTTGACTCAGAAAGTAGTAAAGGTCCCCGTTTAAAAATTGAAGGCCAGAGCAAGGCCGTGGTCGTTATTTTAACCTCCTGACTTCAAAGACAGCTTGCTGGGAAGGGAAGGGGGAGGAGGTAGGGAATCATCTCAACAGAAGAGCATTTCATTTCCTTCAGTGAAGTAGACATTGGTGGCTGCTAATGGGGAGTAGTTCTGAATCACAGCACTTGTATCTGACTGCTGTGAACTACTGGCCTGGCGCCTCAAGGCCATTCCTCAACAGGAAGCTGAATGTTTTCATGTAAGACTGAGAGGAAAACCTTCCCAGGAAGAGCAACCTGGACCAAACCTTTGAAAATCTGGGATGAAAAGGCACAAAGTAAATATAAATCTGCAGGGTGCTCTCACCAGTGTTCCTCTGCTGTTTGCTTGGCCTCTTTCGTGCTCCTTGGAAAGGTAGAGCCCTTCATAACTCTTTGATCCCTGTATGATATGGAGCAATGTGCTACTTTAAAAAAAAATGCAGGAAACTGAAGAGGCTTTTTTTAGTTGGGGCTTGGGATGGTTTTCCAAGGAAATAGGAACTGAATTAGTCAATACAGACCATGTCTGTTGAAACAGCTGTTTCTTTGCAATGAGCATTTGCCTTTGCTAGTTAAGGGCACAACAGCTTTACTTGCTTTTTTTGTGACTACCAAGCACAGCACCAAGTGAAAATTTCCCTTATTCAGCTAAGTAGGGAGGAGGGTGATACAGAATGTGTCAGCTCTCCCTCAAATTAAACATCTGAATGGATTTTGCAGCAGGATTTGCATTTTCATTCTAGTGCAGTTCTGCTTTTCTGAAGCAGCCTTGTTTACTCAGTGTTTGTCCTCCCTCACCTTTTCTCTTCCACCAAAATAATGGTTCTTAGTAGATTCTTTTGATAATTCAACTTACTGGTTGGGATTTAGGACCTGATCCTGCAACCACTAAAGTAAAGAAATGTCTTGATTTCAGTGTGTGTTTGGATTTGGTCCCCAGAGAGCTTTAGCTTGTATAATTGCTCAGTTAAAGTAATAAGTCAACCACTGTCTAACCCAGGGATAGGCAACCTATGGCATGCGTGCCACCTTCAGCACGCAAACTGATTTTCAGTGGCACTCACATTGCCTGGGTCCTGGCCACTGGTCCAGGGGGCTCTGTATTTTAATTTAATTTTAAATGAAGCTTCTTAAACATTTAAAAAAAACCCCTTATTTACTTTGTCTATTAGACAGAGACCTTCTAAAAACATTAAAATGTATTACTGGCACGCGAAACCTTAAATCAGTGAATAAATGAAGACTCGGCACACCACTTCTGAAAGGTTACCGAGTCCTGGTCTAACCAATAGCCAAGATGCACTGTACAAACACCGTCTATAATGAGACTTCAATTTAAACTGCTGACAGGAATGTACTTTACATTTTCAAGTCTGGCACACTGGATAAATATTTGCACCCTAAGCTTTAGTTACAGCTCTGATGACATGATAGAGCCACTCAGCAATATGATTCTCTAACCTGATGTCTGATTTGACATATATTATAATAAACTAACCACATAAACCCTTTTCAAACAAATGGGTTTATCTCTTGGCTTACCTGATCCAAGGTGCTATACTGTCTGATTTGTTAAATCACTACCATCTTTTCTTTAGTGTTTGTCATTCTTTTTTCTCCTTTGTCCCCCCCCTCCCCCCATGATTGGAGAGGTGTTAACTGGCAACTTCACCTTCTGTTGTCCCTTGAAATTGTGTTAACCGCT